AGAAAATGGAACGACAAAATGGTATTTAATTAATAAAGTCGACGTAATTAACTTGAAATAATTAAATTTAAATAATTGAGTTTAGATAATGAGATTGAATTACAAAGTTCGATTAGAAATAAAGATCGGCGCTCCAGTAAATTCGAAACGATACTTCTTTCAACGGGAAGTGATAGACAGGGCCAGGAAGCTCGTGGCCAGTTAATTTTTGACACCTGGTTGTCCGCAGTGGTTGGTTAAACAGACGGCCGGCGTAACCGTCGTCACCTACGGCCGAATCTGCACGCTGGAGTGTTCACCGATCGAGATCGATATAAGGGCACCGGAAGTCAAGTACGAGAGGAGCGCGTTGCCAGGTTTGGTGCACGAAACGGTACCCGTGGTGGCTGCAGCAGTCGCCGAGGAATTGGAAACCGTAGGGTCAACCATGGGGCCAACCATGGCGGCGATCGCAGAGTTAACCATAGAGCCGGCCGAGGCGGAAGAAGAAAACGGCGGCGAGACTGCTTCGCAGGTCACCTAACCCAACTTTTCACGAGACTTTATGGAAATTTTCGTGGTTCCAAAATTCATGCTCGCATCTGTGTAAATTATTGTTATTACGATGCATGTTTTTTAAATAAACGAACCTCCTCGGTAGGGAATATAGCAATTTCTCCCGGAAATGCCAAATTTCGGGTTGCCGTGAATTTTCCTGTGCTAGTCCTACGCCTATGTAATTCATTGCTGAGTCGATGCTAATTAACATCGAAATATTTTTGTTGAAATGGTACATTTTTAACTTAAAAGACTACAAATGGCCTAACTGATCCGCGAGAGTGCGATTTTCTCCAATATATTTCGATTAAAGAAGCTGTTTAATTTTAGTCACGAACCACGCGTTGCAGATCACTGCGCGCTCGCATCCAATTCCAAAAGAAACTACGATATTTCAGACATTTTCCATAATCTGGCGAAAAAATGTTTCCAACAAAAGTTGGTCAGCACTAGCTTCTCCACGTGTTCAAATATAAAATCTTCCGAGGAAAGATTGTTTTCATAAAAAATGCTGGCCACCTGGACTTTTTAAAACGATTATGTTCTAGCTGGTGCCGAGACGTGCCAAAAGAAAGCGAATTTCCAGACTCCGACGAAATTCGTCGTTTCGTTCTCCGATCGAATCAAATGTCGACAAATTGCGTCGACGACAAAGAAAGAAAAAGGAGAAGAAAAATGAAAACACGGCGGGCACAGCGCAATTTATTTGCAAGACCGGAGAGATAGGAAATTCAATGTGAAAGAGGAATCGGTTAAAAGCGAGATAAACGCGGCGTATCTGCACACGAGCACAGCCATTTCCCAAAGATCAAACAATGCTCCCAATCATTTAAATGGCGCTCGACACCGTCAAAAGCGTTCGCCGGGCTCCCTTCCGGCCCGGTACCCCCCTCCGAAAGACTCCATTAGACCAAATCGTGCCACGATAAACCTAGAAACTCGCCGCGCGGGAGTTCTTTCGCGCGACGGGAGAACGCGTGCGAGAATCGCCGGGATACGTTTCCCCTTAGCTCTGGCGTCATCAAATCGTCGAAAATGGCGACGACCGGCGACACTCGACGGGAATAAGAATCAGAACAAGCGTTATCGAGACTGTTTCGCTCGCCGTTCCATCCAATGACGCCGAATATCCGGCAGAACGGGTCACCTGAGGACACTTGAGAGAGGCAGACGCGGGTAAAAATATACGAAAAAGTATTGGAAATAATTAAGAATCGACTCTTGTCTCTATGGAGTAATATTTCAAGATTTATTCGACGTCGTAGAGATAAGTACGTTTCTTCGAAATAGTTTATTTGTGTTGTGCTGGAGAAAATGATTAATCGACATGGTAGTTTCTTATGACGCACCGGAAATAATTATTTGAAATGTTAGGTTTATTTCTAAATATTCGGTATTAATGCGCTAAAAAAAACTGTTTACAATAGATAGCGTATAACTGAAGAATTTATTTCCGCCACAAGAATGGGTCACAATAAGTTTGTTACATATTGTTATGTTTATTACATTGTTATATTATATCAAGTTTTAGTTTTATTACATTAGTTTTATTTTATTACACTGTTACGATATATCGAGTTTTAGTTTTATTACATTAGTTTTATTTTATTACACTGTTACGATATATCGAGTTTTAGTTTTATTACATTAGTTTTATTTTATTACACTGTTACAATATATCAAGTTTTAGTTTTATTATATTAGTTTTATTTTATTACATTGTTATAATATATCAAGTTTTAGTGAAATATCAAATGGCCAGTACGAAGAGTCGAATAAAAACAGCTTAGTATGATAATAATAATGAGCTTAAGTATGAAATGCGTATAGTCCTTGCGCGACGAGTTTGCGTTTCCCCGTCTTACTAACTGCCCCACTACCACAGCTAGCGATCGCTATTGGCCGAGCGCGGCAGTGGAGCAGCTAGTAAGTGGGGGAATGAAAACAGAAGGGTGCCTTATCGTCGCGTGAGGACTACTTTACTCTCTAGTTTCGCTATATGAGCCGTTTATTTTGAAAGTGGCATAAGTCACTTTGTTTTTTTTTTAAATGAAAAGATACCGTTCAATTGTAATTAGTGTTACCATTAACTCGATTTTTTTGAAAAAGTGACTGATGCCACTTTCAACATAAACGGATAATATAACTTATGCATTTCATGCTCAACGAAACACTTAAATATTATTTCGATCTTCTCTCATAAATATTAATCCTAAGAAATAGTATTTCTTATGGTAGACCGTTAGTAATAATAACAATTCAAGTAACGACGATTCCTATTTTTATAGAATTTTTATGATATCCTTGCTAAATTATTGGTAACAATATTTTAACAATAATAACAATGGTTCAGACATGGACGATAATAACAGTTCAAATATTGACAAATTGAGATTTTCATACATCGAATTATTACAATGTACTATCAAATTAATTGGCGCTTTGTTAACGATGATAATTGCAGGAACATCGATAATTCTCATTTTTATTAAACAATTCATATAATTATTACGACATATTAAACAATTTTCTGTAAATTACTAACTATTGTTAGCAATAGACTTTGTCAGAAAAAGAGAGAAACGCTGCTTGGAATTATATTATTCATAATTTAATAAGGATTTCATAACGTATTGCAATAATTATATAAATTTTGTTAAATTTAGGGTGCTATCTATTCTCATCAACACGGTTCTCATATACATTTTAAAAAGAATTTGAAATCGTCGATATTTTAACTTCCAAATTCTTTTTAAAGTGCATTTGAGAACCGTCGATGAGAATAGATAGCACCCTAAATTTAACAAAATTTATATGATTATTGCAATACGTTATGAAATCCTTGCTAAATTATGAATAATATAATTCCAAGCAGCGTTTCTTTTTCTGATCCTAAAAATGAGAAGACACCACGGTACGTGGAATCTGTTGTCCCTGTCGCTTAAAAAATCATGAACATGTTTTATGGGGACATGGACGCGGCGTTGTGACATTGTCATCCTACGATAATTAATTTTCACGTGTGAAATATTAATTAAAAACCCGTCAAAACCCTTCATGAGACAGGGATTTAACTAATGAACGACGGGATGAGCGGTCGTCGACGATATGTTGTCAGTGACGGGCTCAATCTGCTCTGAAAATGTTAATAATTTATTCGTCCATCATTGTATTCTAATAATTGCTGAATTATTAATGATATCGGTAGTATAAATTTACAAATTTATCGTTACACAGATTGTTGGCAAGACTATGGACAGTTTTGTTGAATTTTTCATTGAATTGTTGATCAGTGCGATTATCAATAATTAATTATAATTATTATTATATTATATAATTTTAATATAATAATAATAATAATAATAATAATATTTATAATATAATTATATAATATAATATAATAATGTAATATAATATATAATATAATATATAATGTAATTATAATAATTATATAATTATTATAGCATAATTATATGTAGTTTAGTTATATATTATATAATTATTGTATATTAGTTGTTATATATTATAGCTACTTTAGTTATATATTAACAGCTATTATATAGCATAATTTTAGTTAACAATATTTTGCATATTACTATAATTACAGTTACTATATTATTCAATTTTTATTTTCGTAAATTCGTGACATTTTCTTATTCAAAAATGGCGGCAGATGCCCGTAGATGAGCTTAGTTAATATTACGAAATCAATTCTACAGACAAATGATTCCCTTGTCGAGACGATCTAGCAATCGAATTTAACTTTCGAATATTTTGCCGCCCTTTCCCATTCAAAAAGTGGCGTGAAAACTCGACAGCAACATCATCGGATAAAAGCAGCATGTTTTCGACAGCTTCAACAAGAAGTTTCAAACTATATAATAATAAAAAAACTAGTCGTTATTAATGTACTTAATGTTTAATAACTTCACAAAACCTGTCGAAATGCGAAGCAAAGATAACAAACGAAAAAAAGAGAACAAGAATAAAATAATATTTTTGCAAATTGAGAACTGTCCCGGAATCTAGTTAGTTTCGCAGCCGAAAAGTAATTTTGAGTTATTCGTTTTCCAGGCTTACCAGCGTACAGGGAAAATGTTTCAGAAATTTACCCGGGAAAATTTATGTGCGCGGACCGTGTGCCCGAATTTACTCGCAGCTTTCGAAACAAAGCGACGCGACGTTTTCCCCGAACAAAACCTTTCAGCGTTTTCCCGCGGAAAATATGTGTTTGCAAATAGGTACCGGCGGTTTCATCTTTTTTTTCTCGCAGCCGTCACAGCGGCGGATCCCGTTTCCGGGAGCCAGGGGCTTCTAGACTGACGTCTGATATTTTATTCTCAGTCGAAACTCGGGATATTTATGGAGAAGTGAACGAAATAATTCTTTGTTCACGTATTATTTTCGCTAATAATACAAATATAATTATCTTGACTTGATCCAAAAGGTAACAACAAGGAAGTTTGCTTGTACCACTGATATTTTTATACAAAGAGAATGATAACAATAAACAAATTTTTCAGAATATCGATAATTTTATAAAATTAGTTTTAGCATTTTATAATATACTAGGTGGTTTCATTTTTAGAATTTTTCAAAAATATTACATAGATGTTTGAATGTTACAAAATATTTTTACAACGTTTTAAATATGTTTACGATACATTTGCGAGGTACTTATAAAACAATTGTAAAAATGTTTTCAATATTGTTTTTAAAATATTTATAAAGTATTGTTGTGACTTCTATAAAAATGTTTCATATATTTGCGGAACATTGGATAAAAATTAAAGAAAAACATTCCTATAATTGTTCTAAAAATATTTTATAATTAGAAATGCTTCATAAATGATTTAAAGATTCTAATTTAAATGTCTGTAGTCGAACGTTGCTTCAAACTTACGTATCCTAACCTAAAAAACGCATATTATACGCAATTTTGGCACCAAGTCTCATATTTAATTTCATAAAATTATTAATTTGCTTTCATTACAAGGATTCAATGTTTAAAAATATCTTAATAAATTGTTCTTGTTTATTTGGTTTTAATAAACTGTTACAGTTTAATAAAGTTCGACTCTAATCTAAAGCGCAATAATGTAAAGCTTGCTATCACATCGTCACTTGTGAACGGAGTTTTCGATGAACAGCGAAACCGATTGTTGCGAGATTCAATTATTTTTTTTCCAATGGAGGAGGCTCCGGAAATTATGGTAACGATCATCCGCCGGCCGAGGTATTTGCATTGTTTTACAAACACGATATTTATCCGAGTTTTAAATCGTCTCGATTTTCCCTGTTAGCGAGAGAGGCGCAAACATTTAATAAACCGAGACCGGATTAATTTATTATTTAAGCGACGTTTTTCGACAAGAACAGAGATAGAGCGATCGTAAAATGGAGATCCCGTAATTGACAGCGTTAAATTCTCGAGCCGATAGCCGACCGAGGGGAGATTTCCAAAATGGATGTGAGTAGCAGAATTTGCATTTTGATTATGGCCAAGTTACGATCGATAATTCATATTATTAATAACAATATTTAGGTTAACGATAATATTTCCGATCTTGTCAATAAGTGTCCTCGTCGATACACGTTTAATGAGTTAACTAATGGTGCTTATTAATTAACTTTCGCTGATAGTTCAGGAAATTTCATTTTCACGAAAACTTACTCAAAAGGGATTGAAAATGTTTTAAGATACAGAGATTTTGAAAGATATGTGTTAAATATTACAGATATTTTTACGGACGTTGCAACAATATTCTATGAATATTTAAAATATTTTCACAAATTGTTGAGAGATATTCCATGAATATTCAACATATTTTCATAAATTTTAGGAAAATATTCCATGAATATTTAAAATATTCTTATAAATGTTCGAGCGTGTATCTGTATACGCGTAGATAAATTATTTTAATTTTATGAAAATACGAAAATATTTATTTTACCGA